CTCCTCCTCTGTCAGTCGGGATTCAGCCTTCTGGTTCTCCTTTGAATCAGACTAATTCTAAAATGTGTACATAAAATGATTGAACTTTAACGATATCTGCAGTACATTCATGTTGGTTCTGTTCTGTTTACCCTGGGGGGGTTATCGCTGCTCTCCCTGCTCTCATCCATGCTAGGCTGCATGGATGCGCAGGGAGTTCTTGCCCAGAACAGAACCATACCGCCAACTGTATGTTAATTGTCAATCATCTTTGACGATAGTGGTCCTGACAGAATTGCAGGTGTTCAAGCATGTCAAGCAAACACAGCAGCATTAATCACTCAAGTTTGTAGCTGCTGAATTAATTAATTCGATTTGATCTAGAGGAGCACAGGCAAATTTATTGAGTGCTCTTTGCCTTGGAGTGCAGTGTATTTGTTTGTGTGTGTGTGTGCTGGGCCATAGAAATCATCAGAATCCAACCTGCTCTCTCTTTCAGCCTCTCAAAGGAGTCCATCGGTGACCTCCGACCCCTCGCAGAGATCAGTCGAGAGCCTTTTCTCCGCCAGGTGGGTGTAGACAGAGGGAACGAGAAGGGGGAAAGAGCAAACAACATCCACAAATCAAGTTACACTATTAAAAACACTGTAATTCACAGAACACAAATGAATAATTCAGCAGTTTGCGTCGCTCCTGCGCCATTGTTTTAAATCATGAGTCGAATTTGCATTTTGATTGCTTTTGGTAGTCTGTTGGGTGCATGTAATGAGTTCAACTCTCAGAGAAGACAGACATTCATTAGTCATTAAAAAAAATTAAAGACAGGAGATGCGTAGACTGACAATACGACAAATTTGCGCAGGTATTTAGGCGATTTTGTAATCATTTTGTTGTTATATTTTGTTGTGAAGTATATAATGCTTTGTTACAATTAAATGAATCAGTGTGACAATTATCTCCTGGCAAGTGTTTGCTTTCTTGACGTCAAAGGTTTTGCTATTAGCATTTTCCTTTAAAAAAAATTAGTCTAAACTTCTTGAGTATGAAGTGAAGGATACTCCAGCCTGAAGAAGTGTGAAAATTAAAGGATGTTAGTCACAACCACTCAGTTTCAGTTTTAATTAGCGCTTGGCTTTAAGAAACACTGACATCATATGCAGAGGGTAAATTAACTGCAGGGTGAATACTGTATCACTGAATACTATAGGCTTAGCTCATGAATATTAATGAATATTAATTAGGACATGCACCAATGGTTTTACATGATCTAAATAAATAGTTTATGTAATGTATTAATCTTTGATAACTAATTGGTTCAAATCCGGCCTGGATTATATCCTAATCCCATTAAAATTCCTATATTTTAAGTGCATAAAAACAAAATTTAAAACAAAAGATAGATGGTACTCCAGACCCCAAAATAAACACTTCCCTTTCGTGTCTGGAATCTCTTTCACAGTTTTACCTCTCGCTGTCACTTGAAAGGTCAGCCGAACTAATGACCAAAACGTAAGGAGCGGCGCTATCAGGGATGTGTACACACCCCGCAAATTAAAGGATGTGAAGGGGCAGATTTCATCAAGAAAAAGCACTTTAGACGTGTCTGTGCATTTAATGACGACAGTGAGGCACCGGAGTAAAAGGTGTTGTTTCTTTTTGCCTCCAGCAAGCTGAGCCTGAGCAGGACACGTCTCCTGACGAAAGCCGCCAGGGGCTTCATGAGCCGGTCGCAGAGCAAAATCAGCAACTCAGTGGGAGAGAGTGAAAATGACAACAAGGACTACATCCCTCTGGTTTCTGTCGCCATATTCTGCTTTCAGGATGTTGTTGCTCTGTGGTTTCAGTAGAACATACATTTGAAGTCAACATGAAATTGAAATTGCCCCTATTAAAGGAGTGGTTGATTGCGATTTCACTTTTTTAACTTTAGTTAGTGTGTAATGTTGCTGTTTGAGCATAAACAATATCTGTAAAGTTACGGCGCTGAAAGTTCAATGGAAACGGAGATATTGTCTTTTAAAGAAAAGTCTGTTTAATGCCTACAATTACGACTGGTAGGGACTACAACAAGCTACTTCCTGGGTTGGTGACATCACAAACCCTGAAATTAACATAAACCCCACCTCCGGGAACACGCAACAAAGGGGGCGAGGCTATGTTGCGCGGCTTTTCCACTGGAGCACATGCAACTATTGCCCGTAATGGTAAAGGGCATGACGTTTCCGGACAACGTGCAATACGCGGTTAGCGAATCACAATACACTGGGCCAGCTAACCAATCTGAGCCCACTGTGTATTTAGGAGGAAGTGGTATCATAGAAACAGGAAATCAACCGGCCGTTCAAATAACAATGGAGACAGTGGCATAGAATAAAGGTAAAATATATGAAAAATAAGGCGTTTTTTTTTTTAAAACGAAGCATGAAGACATGTTACACTGCACCCCATTAACACAATCAAGCCTAGAAAAAAAGCAGTCAACCACCCCTTTAACTTTTTTAATGCATGTTTTATATATATACATATATATTAGTGCTGTCAATCGATTAGAAAATTAACAAATTAATTGCACATTTTTTTGGAAATTAATCGCGATTGCAATAATTTCACATGCAATCTTCAAATGAATGTAGAAACAACATAAAGATAGTATATTTTTAATATTTGTTTAATGGCACCGTTTTTATGCAGTTGTGAGTGGGGTGGCCAACCCTAGCCCTGCCCCTGCGTTAACTGAGTTAAATATGGTAATGATGTTTTATTAAGAAAGTTCGGGAGGAGCACGCTCAGATAATTAATCTAATTAACACGAGAGGAGCAAAATCAGTAATCAACCCAATTAACAAGATAAGAGGTGTACTGTATATATACACACAGCAGACTTACCTCTGTTCCTTGACAGTTTTCCAGCATCCCTCCATCACCCCATCTCCTCACTTAAAACTATTCCTATCCTAACCTGGTTAAATGAGATGTACTATTTGAGAAAACTATATTGGTCATGGCAATTACTCAAAGTAAACGGTGATGAGGCGTAACAAAATCAGTAAAGCGTATTTTTAAGGCTAATGTAATTGACAATGCCTAAAGACCTTAAATGGCTCATTGAAGTTCCGTCTCTGAGCTTGTTTATATGTTTGAGCACTGATTAAGTAGACATTATGGTTTCTGCTTCCTGTTGCAGGTGTCATTGCAGCTGTCCTGTGGGGCGTTCATGTTGGACAGTGCCTTGTGTGATGCCATCAACGTGCCCATGGACAAGCTGAAGTGGACGTCGCCCTTCACCAGCCACAGACTCAGCCTTACTCACGTGTCCCACTCCGGCTCCCGGCGCTCCGAGAGTCTGGAGGTCCACCACGGCTCCTCGCCTCCTCCAAAAGACTCAGACTTCAACTCCGAATTCGAGGAGGTGGTATCCCGCACGTCTTCTTCCTCATTCCAGGCCCGAAGCCCTCGGATGGAGGGCGAGCCTTCGTTGTTGAGCGGCTTCTCGTCGATGTCGACCGAAGCCCCTCCATCGCCTGTCAACTCTTTGTATGACAGCGGACGGGGGTCTGAGTCTGAAATCACGGAGACGCCCCTGCCGGGTTCGCCCGGGATCCTGCGAAGGGCCGTGCAAGACCCAGAGGGGATGGTGTGGGCGACTGCTGTTGCTCTGGCCTGGCTGGAACACAGTTCGGCCAGTTATTTCATTGAGTGGGAGATGATCGCCGCCAAGGCCAGCATGTGGCTAGATGAACAGATCGTCCCAGAGGGCCGAGACCTGGCGTCGGTCAAAGCCACGGCCAATCAACTCTTCATCATCCTCAGACACTGGGACGAGAACTTGCAGCTCAACATGCTCTGCTATAACCCCAACAGCGTGTGAGGCCTGATAGGGTAGGGACAAAACTTCAAACTATGCGAAACGAGGGTTTTACTCGCCTTGAGTTGTTTTAATATTTATTCTGTGGGTTTCGTTTTAGTTTTATGAATAGAAATCGTACCAGTATTTCATCCGCCGAAGGCCAGAAACATACTCTGCACAGGTACGTAGACGCCAATGTATTGCAAGCTTCCTATAGTATATATGTAACTTGTTTTCTTGCATTACTGTAGCAGTAACAAACTTGTAAAAGACTGTATCTGTCTCCTATTGAAAAAATATTACAGGAAGTTAAAATATTACTTACAGTTGTGAGGAAAGTTGTAGTTGTAAGAAATAGATGCAACTCAGTGTTATTTTAGTATTACTTATATACAGTATTATTACGTTTTTTATTAGGATTTTATATTAGTTAATTTTTTATGTTTTATTTTTTATTTAAATTTTACAGAAAATGGAAAATAAAAAAAGTAAAACGAATTAAATTAATAAAAAACTAATTCAAAATATTAATAAAAGCTATAATAGTATCTCAATGATATTAAAATAACACTGGTTATTTTGAAAAATGCTGGTAACCAAATGGTTTCAGGTCCCATTGACTTCCATAACATGAACAAAAAACATATGGAAGTCACTGGGACCCAAAGCTGTTTGGTTACCCACATTCTTCAAAATAATGATCTTTCTTTGTGTTCAGCAGAAGACAGAAATGCATATCAGTTTGGAATGACAGGAGGGTGAAAAAATGCTGACAGAATTGTAATTTTTGGGTGAACTATTCCTTTAAAATTCATCTGTATTATATTAACTTTCTTAGACTGGCAGTTTTGACAACATAGGTATTGTAGCAGGTTGTGGAGCTGCATTGTAGGGCTTTTTTTCCTTTTTGTGGTGCCTCTAACCTCACCAAAGGCAATACTTTTTGCAGCCAGTAGATGTTGCACCACACTTTCAAAATCAAGAAAGAAAGGGTGCTGTTTTTGTCAGATTGCCACATTTACAAACTGTACGACAGCTTGTTTCTGCTCTGTTCTCTCTCTTTCTCTCAGTAACACTTTGTAAAGTTTAAGCCTATTAGTCAGGCATTCATCAGGGAATTACACGGCAACTATAGCTGTCATCATGTTTGTGCAGCTCAAAACAATGAAATCTAGTGTCTCTTTGTTACTTGTGAAATCTCGCTCTTTTATGAGTCATGTCTGTCCTGCAGCGTACGCCACCATTTAATTATATCAGTTACCACTCAGTGCAGTAAAAATGGCTTCAGGCATAAAGTCAGTATCAAAGAAAGGATTGTGATAGCTTGCTTTTGATGATGCTAATAATGCACGATGGCTAAAGAGAAAGAGAGAAAGTGTGAGAGGGCTGTAATTAGGGTTGGGAACCATATGTTTTCCAATCTATTATTTAAAAAACACCAGAACCAAATGATTTTAAAAGACATTTGACTACACTAATGGTTGAATCTTGAATGTTTAGCATCATACTAAAATACTGAGAGTGTTTCTTGGATTCACAGTGCTGCCAATGAATCCATGAAGCCTGACACATGAAATAATAGTCTAGAAATAAAAAAAAATCTTTTTTTTTTTTTTTTTAAATGGAAGAGTTTTATGATCAAATCTCTATAGTTTTAATTGTAGGGGCAAACATATGCAGTGCAATACAGTGATGAATGAACAAATACCAACACCTTTCTCAAAAGACTGTTGTATCATTTTGGATACTTACGTTTTAAAATGATTTTTCTATAAAATAATTAATGTATGCAGTGTGTGCCGGTCCTAGACTTCTGAGGGCCCTAAGCAAAACTTTGGGGGTCCCTGTCAGTGTGTTCATTTATCGAATATACTGACAAACATTCGATTACTTTCCCAACTGTTTGTTCACTTGAGACATAATTATCTGTGTTTAAAGGGATAGTTCACCCAAAAATGAAAATTCCGTCAGGACCACTATCGTCAAAATGATTGACACTTAGCATACAGTTTAGTTTGGCGGTATGGTTCTGTTCTGGGCAAAAACTCCCTGCCCATCCATGCAGCCTGTCATGAATGAGCAGGGAGAGCAGCAATAATAACCCCCTTACTGTATGGTAAACAGAACAGAACAAAGCAGATATCATTAATGCACTTAATGATAAGTGTAACACATTATTCAAGATAAAAGGAGTCTGAATAAACGAGGAATAGCAGAAAGCCAAGTCCTGACTGTGGTGAAAGGAGGAGTTGGGGATGGAGGAGGGTAATTTGCTCCTGAGCAAGTGAAAAAGCTGCTGAATAATACTGAATAGAGCTTATATAGGAATGTCGTGATAGGTGTCGTATTCCTATAGCTAGATGTGATCAGTTGAGTCAGCCGATGCAAGCTTGACTCACGTGACCTGCCAGAACTAATGCTATATGCTTAAGTTCTGTCCTTAATTACTCACGTCATGTTGTTCCAAACCCGTAAGACCTTCGTTCATCTTCGGAACACAAATTAAGATATACTTGATAAAATCCGAGAGCTTTCTGGCCCTGCATAGACAGCAACACAACTGAAATGTTCCCAGACCCAGAAACGTAGTAAGGACAATGGTAAAACAGTCCAAGTGACATCAGTGGTACAAACATAATTTTACAAAGCTGTGAGAATACTTTTTGTCTGCAATGAAAACAAAAATAACAACTTTATCCAACAATTCTTCTCCCCCAAATCACATGTACCTCTGAGCCTTGTTTATGTGCAGAGGAAAGCACACACATGCGTCGTGGTACTCTTGATAATGGCGTGATTTGGAGGAGAAGAATTGTTGAATAAAGTCATTACATTTGTTTTCTTTGCACGTTTCTGGGTCTGGGAACATTTCAGTTGTATTGCTGTCTATGCAGGGTCAGAGAGCTCTTGGATTTCATCAAATCTTAATTTGTGTTCCGAAGATGAACGAAGATCTTGGAACGACATGAGGGTGAGTAATTAATGACAGAATTTTCATTTTTGGGTGAAAACCCAGCAAGATGGACATTTTGACATGTTTTGTGTGTATTTGTCCATTTAACCGTATACCTAAAACCAAAAGTAGCCTAAACTTGGCCGTGTTTCACTCTTTCTCGTATCACGCACACAGAAAGCCACCTGGGCAACAGTGTCTCTTTCGCAGCTCAATACACTTTAAACTATTTTTGAAGTATCAAGCATGTCTGGCAGGAGACTGTATATTATGACAGTCACGTTATATGATTTGACTGATTTGAATGTTAAATAGGAAGGGTTATAGCACACCACTATAAATAAAAGAAACAGAATGTGGCATGGTGTTAATTGTTGAAAGAAAAAAAATCAAAAGCAGAACTAAAATTCTATTAATTGCACAGCTCTACTCATTAAATCATGTTTGAGAGCAAGGGGCCCCCAGGTGTTTCAGGTGCCCAATGCAACTTGTGTACTTCGAGTATATGGATGACCGGCACTGAATGTATAATCAATTAAACTTACAGTAAGATGCTTCAGTCCACAGTATTTCAGGTTTTCCAGCAAAGTTGTGATTATGTTGATCCTTTAGAGGCCTTATTTTTGATACATGAATTTCTAGGCAGTAGGCTTTGGAGAGTTAAAATATGTAATCAGTTATTTTCCAAATACTAAAAGAACTGTGAATGAAATGATTAATTCTACTTTGTATTTTTTCCTTTTTTCTCCATATTTTCTCCCTGAGTATTATCACAGTGTCATGAACCTGCTGCATCATGTAATGAGACCTGTAGTTGGTTGTGCGTGAGGACCGAGGAAATGTAATTATGCTAATGTCTGTAGAATATTCGAGCAAACATGCTAAAGGAAACCCATTATGATTGTAATTGCAAGGCGGAGTGAAAACAATAATCATTGTAAGAAACAAACAGCCACTGACCACAAAGAATTACACATTGACATGTCATTTCTCATTTATGAATCATATGTTTCTCATTAAATTCCTTAGGAGAATTAAAACAAGACAATTGTTGAGCTGTAAAATGAATGTGGATTTGTTTGAGGAATCTGATGAGAAATGTCTCTGATGTTTGATTTCAAATCTGAGCACAGTTTGAGACATTATTGAAATTTCTTATGAAACAATGTAGAGGAGTTGTCTCTTCATCAGAACAAATTTGGAGAAGTGTAGCATTGCATGGTTTGCTCACCAATGGATCCTCTGCAGTGAATGGGTGCCGTCAGAATGAGAGTCCAAACAGCTGATCAAAACATCACAATATTTATTTAGAACTGTTTTGGCTTATAAACAAGGTTTGATCTGTGCATATTTCTCTCCTGATTCAGATGAGAAGACTTTTTCACTGAAGAAGGCAATATTATGGACTTTTGGAAGTAACGTTTTGAAATTAAAAACACCTAAATGATGGATTTGTTTCTTATAAATACACAGCTTTTCACTTCACCAGATGTTAATTGATGGACTGGAGTGGTGTGGATTACTTGTGGATTATTGTGATGTTTTTATCATCTGTTTGGACTCTCATTCTGACGGCACCCATTCAGATCCATTGGTGAGCAACTAATGTAACGCTAAATTTCTCCAAATCTGTTCTGATGAAGAAACAAACTCATCTACATCTTGGATTGCCTGAAGGTGAGTGGCCTGAATTCATTATCGAGTCAACTATTTATTCAACTGTGAAAAATTATTATCGGAGTATCATTTTACAAGAAAATACAATTTCAGCCCTTCAGTACTTCAAAATTTGTGAAAAAAAGTGAAAATTGTTCTGAAGGATATCCTACACCAAATTTTGCACAAACTCGTTAGCATACAGGAAGTTAGGTTTACTGTTCAGAATACCACATTCAAAACATTCATCAGCTGTGCATTATCATTAATAAACCACTGATCCCAGGAAGTAAGAGTATGTCACCGACGGGAACTTTTGAAGTGTTATACTGATAGTCCCACTTGTATTACCCAACACTTTCACATGAGCAGCTACAGAGCTGACGGAGTCACCCTTGTGCTTCATTACAGATATTCTTCTCTTATGTAAAGCCTCTTACTTAGAAAGGGTTCATTGTGTGGAATGGGCGCACACTCAGCTTGACTTCTTTCACACTTTTGCACACACTCGTTTTTAATCAGCGGCGAGGTGTTATTTGATGTTTTGATAATGATTGCAGAGCGTATAAGGGTCAAAGATAAAACTGAAGCGGAATGGTAATGACAGGTCTGTAGTTAGCACATAAGAAATTAGAGACAGTACTTTTACGCTGTACAAAAACAAGAGATATTTTATGCCGTATTGAGCT